GGCGGCAAGACAAGAGGGCACCCCATCCGCCCTGTTTGATGGCCGGGCATGTGCGTGTGTGGATGTGTGTGTGCACATGCGCGCGCGCGCGCGCGCGCGCGCAGGGCTCAGTGCTTTCGCGAGAACCGGCCCAGCGCGTAGCTGGACTCGGTCCGCTCGGGAGCCCCGTCGCGGCGGCGCTGAATGGCCGCGGTTTCGCGTTCCACCGTGGCCTTGGCATCGACGAGGGCCTGATCGATGACATTCTCCTGGCGCCGGCGCAGGAACCGGCGGTGGTTGGCCAGGACAGAGCGCTTGCGGGCGGGCGCCCGGGTGACCTCCTCGGAGTCGCTCTCGGAGTCGCTGACGACCACCGGCGCCATGCTGGCAATGGGAGCCCCTCCATCGGGGGCCGCGGCGTCGGCCTCGGCCGCGGCCAGGGCGCGCTTCTCGGCGGACGAGGCGGCCCGGCGGGCGCGCTTGACGCGCTGGCGCTCGGCGGCCGTCCGCTCGATCTGACGCTCCCGGTGGCCCTGGGCCATCTTGCCGATGAAGGTCGGATCGAGGGCGATGGTCTCGATGGGCAGCTATGCGGCGGGGGGTCGGCCGAGGGGGAAGAGAGGGGAAATGGCGCAGCCCGGGGCGGTTAGCTTCTTCTGCCTTTTCTTTGCCCTTGTCCGGGCCACGTCGATGAGACAGCAGGGAGGGGCAGCAATGCCCGGGCAATGGCGCACCTTGTCCAGAAGCTGCTTGACCTCGGTCTCGCGGCGCTGCTTGAGCGTCTGGAAGGGGTTCACCTCGAGGGCGTCGTAGTTGGCCTCCCCAGCGCCCGGGACCAGCAGGGTGCTGACGCCGCCAGCGTGGCCGAGGGCCAGGATATCCTCGTACGGGGTGAAGGTCACCTGGTGCGCCTGCGACCCGGCCTGCAGATGCTGCATGTAGGGCTGCGCCTGGCGCGAGGTCAGCGCATCGCGGTAGATGGCCACCCGCGGGCCGTGAGCCACTGCCAGCAGGCCAGTCTGCGAGATAGAAAGGCTGGTCGGCGCCGAGGGGGGCTTGTAGCTGTGGAGCTCGCCGAAGGTCCGGATGTCCCAGACCTTGACGAGACCGTCACGCCCGGCCGTGACCATGTGGCTGTGTGGACATGCGCGGGGCCCGGGGGGGGGGGGAGAGGCGAAGGGAGAGCCCGGTAAGTAGAGCAGCCACAGGCGGGACAAAGGAGGAAGGGGGTCACAGGAGGGGCCGGCAGGGGGTGGCACGCGAGGCCACAATAGGCACGCACTTGCCGCTACGATCGACGGCCACCGACTTGACGGCGCCACGGTGGCAGAGCATCTTGGCCAGGGGCGTGGTCATGGTCGGGCTCCAGAGAGAAACAGTGCCTGCACGGGGAGGAAGGGGGCAGGGAGCGTCGGACAAGGCGCCGAGTCAGCAAGGGATGTGTGGCAGAGGTGGGCCGGAGGGCGACGGGTGATGCCTGCCGTACCGTTCGAGTGGCCCGCATGAATGACCGCATTCCACGGGTTATGGCAGAGGGACTGCGTGGGGCCCTGACGCGAGCGGAGCTCCGACACCACGGCACCGTGTGTGGTGTCCTGATACCGGATGTAGCCCGAGTGACCGGCCGACACCAGGAGGAAGTGGTACGGCAGGAATTCAAGGTGCGTCGAGTCCCGGTGGTCCTTCAGCCGGTGCAACTCGGTGCCCTTCTTGTCGTAAATGTAAATGTACTTGCGCTGGGCCACCGCGAACAGGGTTTCATTGTGGGGCCACCTTTTTTTTTGGGGGGGGGGGGAATGGATTAAAACGTGAAGGGACGAATGGATGAAGGAGCGACGGGATAAATGGACAGGCGGGGCTGCCGGGGGCAGGCGGTGAAAGGACTTCAGGGGCATGGCAGCACCTGCTGCTAGGGGCAGACGTGGGCAACACGCAAGTGGCCGGGAGAAAAGAGGGGAGCCGGAAAGACGTACTGCACATCATGGACCGTCTCCTGCAGGTGAAGCTCACAGTCGAGAGTGCCGGTGCGCCAGTCGAAGGAGGCCACATGCCCCTTGCGCCCGCCGAGGAGGAGGTGGCTACCGTTGCGCGTGTAGTTGACGCTGTACGGCCCGAAGTGCGGGAGATCCAGGGAGAAACTCTTTTGCGCGCTGGCGATGTCCACATTGTCGAGGATCTCGGCCTGGGTGTAGCGCCGAGTCTGCTCGCCCTCGCTGGCCTCAAGGTAACTGGCGGAGCCCGAGCAAGGGGGAAGGGCGGTCAAAAGGACCGTCGAAGCAGGAGGTCAGCACGGAGCCGGGCGCACAGGCACACGCACACACACACACACACACA